GGAACCTAACTCTTAGGAGACCACTAAGGGACCTGGAACTTAGTGAAACCACTAACTTCTTGCACACCCTGAGAGAGGTATACCCCTCCCAAAATTCTCCTGACCTTCGTGTGTGGACCCTTCACCCATCTGGTAAGTTTTCAACCAAATCTTACTTCAAAGGCTTTAGTTAGGGAAGAACAAACCACTGATCAGTACCCCTACAAGAGAATTTGGTGTGCCCATATCCCTTCCAGGGTCTGGTTTTTTGTGTGGGAGGCCAGCCTAAAGAAAATCAACACTTATGATCTCCTTCAGAAAAAGAACCATGGAAGGTCTTATCTATCCCCTCATGTCTGTTGTTTCTGCCTTAAAGCCAAGGAATCTTCCTAACATTGAATACAGTTGGCTTTTCCCAGAACATGTGGTTGAATGCTTAGGACAATGGTCAGGAAGAGGTTTAAGCAAAAGAGGGAAAACTTTATGGCAACTGCACATGCTATATTTTGGAGCATTTGGGAAGAGAGAAATAATCGGGTGTTTACCAACAGAAAACAAAAACTGTAAGGAGCTTATTTCTCTAATCTGTTATAGATGCTTCCTGTGGACTTCCAGCTCAAATTATTTCAGAGGTGTCACATTTGTTGACCTCCAAAGAAATGCCGTAATTTTCTTCACTCTAATCACATACACCTAAACACTTCCTGCAGTTTCAGATTTGCCGAGGAAGGGGAAACAACTTTGTACTTTGATGGGAGTGCCTTCGGAAACCCAGGTGCAGCGGGTATTGGAGGTGTAATTTGTAGAAGAGATGGTACTACCAGTTGGGTTTTTAGTGGGCCGATTGGGATAGCTTCCTCAACAAAGGCTGAAGTCATGGCAGCACTAACCGGCATCAGGATTGCAAGAGACCTGGGTTTATTAAATCTTACCATTAAAGGAGGTTCAGCCAACACCATTAATTGGCTCACTAATCCTGACAGTGGGCCAATTAATGGTGAGAATTTGTGAGGAAATGAATATATATCATCCTATTACCAGTGACGTAACTGTTATGGAAAAGCAGAGGAATCGAACCTGAATACAAATACAAATCAGTGAGAGCTCAGGTTTTGGGCAGTCCAGAGCTACCTAACATGAAGGATGTATTTTCCTGACTGTAGAGGGCCAAATTATCAGAGTCCACCCAAACATCCGATCAAGCAGCACTGGTTATATATGGAAATAGTGGACGAGGTCGGAGTACTTATGGAGGAAGACGTGGGAGTGGTGGTTGTGGTCCTTTAGATTTCTCAGGTGGTAGATGTGATAATGGTATTCAGGGTGGTCGTAGACGAAGCAGAAATGGTAATACTAAGTTTTGTACTCATTGTGGGTTTGGAGGACATACAATTGGTTATTATAGATATCTGTATAGAGTTTAGTTCTACTCATATTGTCATCATAAGGGACATACTGTGGAGTATTGTCGTCTGTTAAAGAAACTGGGAAGTTGTGCTAACCAAGTCACCTATCCAGATTATGTATCACAGTGCTACAAACAATCAGCCAAAAGGGGAGATGATGACTATTTCTAAGGTAGAGCATAATCGGTTGGTTGCAGCTAGACCTGTTTATGGGCCAAGCTTGGGCTTGGATTTTGCCAAAATTTCAATGGGCCTGGCCTGAAGCCCGAGTCCAACACAGTGTAAAGTTAGGCCCGAAGCCCGGCCCGTGAACATGTCTAGTTGCAGCCTCGTCTTCCTCCACTGCTACTCTTGCTCAGTCGTCAGGTACTGGCTCCACTTTGTCTTCTCTCTACCTCATCATCTCCATGGGTCATTGACTCAAGAGCTACCGATCACATGTCAGGTACTTCATCATTTTTTTCTCAATTAACTCGTTTGTCTTTTTCTGTCCAACATATTACTCTTGCTAATGGATATAAATCTCCAATATCTGGCATAGGACATGTGGACCCAACACCCCAACTGTCTTTATCATTTGTTCTTCATGTTCCTCACTTTCCCTTCAACCTTATGTCTGTTAGTAAGCTTACAAAATCACCATATTGTTTTGTTACCTTTTCTCCTTCTTATTGTGTGTTTCAGGACTTCAAGATGAAGAAGCGGATTGGTGGAGTTGAATCTAGTGGTTTAAACTACTTGCAAGGTGACTTAGGATCTACTACCTTACAGTCTTCTTCTGGTGTCTCCTTTTCAATTTCATTGCCAGTTGGGTCATCCTTCATTGCAGACTTTACGTGTATGGTTCCTTCTCTTTTGTCTGACACTAGTTTTGAGTGTGATGCGTAGCTTAGCAAGGGTCATCGGGTTTTTTTCTCCTCAAGCTATGAATCATGTGTTTAAACCTTTTCAATTAATTCATTTAGATGTTTGGGGTCCATGTCCTGTAGTGTCTTATTTGGGGTTCAAGTATTTTGTTAATGACTTTTGTTTCCTTGCCGTGTTATTTTGTTAATGATTTTTCAAGAGTTGCCTGGTTATATTTGTTAAAGGAGAAGTCTGAATTATTTTTTGTATTCAAGTCATAGTTGTCAAGGCGACACCTAGGTGACAAGGCGCCCTTTGAGGCTCGCCTTGCCTAATCGCCAAGCAGTTTTGTACTATGTATTATAAAATATATTTTTATTCTTTATTTTTTAACATTATAATTATAAAATAGGCACTATTACACTAAAATATTCATTTTGTGTGTTTATATACTAATTTCTTTTTGTTATTTTCTTATTTGTTAGGGTTTAATCAATACAAACATTGCTAATGCTGTATTGAACTCTCAAAGACTTTAAAACCTGAACTAATAAGGAAGAACTTAAAATTTTGTCTAATCAACACATTTTCTACTACTACTTTTTCTCTTCTTTTCCTATAACAAAAATAAGGGTTCAACCCTTATATTTTTTGAATGTTCTTTTCCTTCTTTTTCTTCTTCTCATTAATATGTTGATTTTCTATACTTTAACATGAACTCTATACTTTTCTTATGAAAATTATGAATAATATTAAGGAAATATGGTTATGGTACCTAGGGAACTACCCAAGGATCTTCTACATAAAAAAATCCATCGCCTAGGCGACTAGGCGACTAGGCGACTGGGTGCCCCCCTGTCGCCTAGCCTCACTTGGCACCTTGAAAACTATGCTTCAAGTCTTTCTTTATGGAAACAAAAAACTAGTTTGGCTCCACTATGTGTTATCCAATCTGGTAATGCTAAAGAATACATGTCTTCACCATTTATTAAATTTTATAATGAGCATGGAATCATACATCAGACATCTTGTATTGATACACCACAGCAAAATGGTGTGGCTGAATGCAAAAACTGCCATCTGCTAGAAGTTACAGGGGCCCTCCTTATTCAGATGCATGTGCTAAAAATTTATTGGAGTGTTGTTGTTCTTACTGCCTGCTATCTCATTAACAGAATGCCTTCACCAATTCTTCAAAATAAGATGCCTCATTCTGTTTTATTTCCTGATGCTCGCATGTTTGCTTACCACCTTGTATTTTTGGATGTTTTGGGCAGAAGGGTAGTTTAGCAATTCCATCTTGAATTAAGGACACTCCAGTCCACTATTTTTCATAAACAAGGGTATATCTGTAATTCTGTATTTTATTTAAAGATAATATAAAGCTGGGCCGACTGCTTAGAGAGGATTAAGACATTCATATCTCTCTCTCTCTCTAATCAGATCGGCAGTTTCTCTCCACTATTTTCCTCTCTTTTCTTTCTCTCCTTTCTATTTCAATCTAGACTGTTCTATGCATCTGTAATATCATATTTTCACACCCTGGATTACTGAAGCTTCGACCATCAAAATTAGCTTAACGATACCTTATGAAGGCAGATTCCAAATCTAAATTCTTTTAGCTATAGTAGAGGAAGAGGAAAATTTTCTTTGTAATTTGTTTATTGGTAACTAGGATTTTATTGGTTAAGAGAAAGAATGAAGAATGGGGTACATACAAATATGTCAAGCATCCCTCAGCTCAGGCTAGCAACTGTCACCTAATCCCCTTGTTTACATTTTATAGCTCACTCCTAAATAGATCTTTTCTATTTGCCCTTTGTTCAGCCATGGCATCATCCAAACCATTAGCTGATCCATGTACCCAATTGAAATTAATAACCGATTCCCTTTCTTGTCTCCCTCATGACAAAAGGCCAAAATTTTCCAACCTCCCCATGTCAAACATGGTGGTGACATCTCTGAAGATGATATGGATAATGAATATGTAGAAGAATCAGGGGCAGATTCCAAAGAATAATTAGAGTAGCATAAGGAAGATGATGAGATTTAATTTGATCAAGTTAAGCAGGTAGAGAAGACAGATTTGGTGAAGGTGGTTGATAGAGAAATTCAAATTTGTAAGAAATTGGGTCTGTTCTTCTTGGGTGGTTAAGAGGTCTGCCAAAAAAAAAGTTTTTATGGATCCAGAAAAGGGGTGGATTTGTTGCAGATGAAACTTTCTAAGATTTTTTCTCTTAAGATCATGGTGTAGTAGGCAATGGACTGGTTTGGTTTTGAGGTATTAGGCATCTGTGATACGGTTGTATGCATGTTAGGAGAGTGGTTAGTTGTTCGTTGTATGAGTGAGGGGGGGGGGGAGGATTTGGTTCAGTTAAGGTAAGGTAAGAATTATATTAAGATTACAAAACATGTATAACAAGATGATGTACACAGGGACTGATAAAAAAACTGCCCTGGCAGCACTATATCCCCTACCCTGCTTTACAAAAAGATTTTCATATACAATTAGGGAACTAAAACTTGTATTCTTAAAGTGCGAATGGCCCATAAGCCGGAAATGCATTTTTCCCAAAGTTTTCTGAAAAAACAGAACTGGAAGAGTTGCTCTCATTTTTGAAGATTCTTGTCTTTCTCTCCTTCCATAAGCACCAAAACACCACTGTTTGGACTAAGTTTCAGATCAGTTTCCTCTTTAAATCAGACCTTTAACCCTCCAACCTTTAATAAACTCCACTACTGATCCTGGACAACAGCTTTGTACCTCAAAAAGTTGGGCTACTCTGGACCATATCTCATAAGAAAAATGAGTGTAAGAACAGGTGGTCCACAGATTCTGAGTAACTTTTGCAGAGAACACAATCTATGAGAGTCCAAAAGCATCCCTTTCACAAGAGATTATCCCTGGTTAGGATTTTGTTTAAATAAGCAGTCCAGACAAAAAAAAAAAAAGCAATTTTTGAGAGAACATTCTTGCACGGTTGCACCAACTGATGTTGGCAGGAATTAACTGCTCTTCTCTACTGGTTAAAACATTGTGAAAAGATTTGACTGTGAACTTTCCTGCCTTGTCCCATTGCCAAAATCTATAGTCGGCCCTCCCAATTTCTACTTCTGTGTAATATAGCAAATGCACCATTTCCATCAATGTATCCACCTCCCAATCATTTAAGCTTCTTTTAAAATGAGGAAGCCATACCACATTTCCATCTTGCAGCTGCATACAGTCAGCTACTTTGGATTCCTTGTCCACTGCCAGAGGCCTTTCTCCACACCATACATTCTTCCAAAACTTCAGCCTCGACCCATCCCCAGTTCCTCGATCCCATCCAAGATTTCTGTCACCATACTTGGCAAGGATCACTCTCCTCCACAAGCCCCTTTGATTTTCTCCAGAACGCCAAAACCATTTTCCTAGAAGGGCAATATTAAAATCCTTTACTCTTCTCACACCTAAACCACCCTGGGTTTTTGGTTTGCAGACTTTGTTCCAGTTAATTAAATGAAACTTCTTCTCTTCTTTCCAACCTCTCCAAAGGAAGCCCCTCATTTTCTATTCTAAGATATTGGCCATTCCTATTGATATTGGATACATTGAGATTTGAGAGCAAGTGCAAAGGAAGGGAGGACAGCATACTTTTCACCAAAGTAATTTTGCATCCATAGTCCTTCTCACTTGCATACATCTTGTATAATTTGATTGTTAGTATTAGTGTCAGTGATAAAAGGAGGTGAATAGTGAAAGCAGAAGAAAATGACATACCTGAAGTAACAGAAGTTGAACAGCAGTACGACACTTGGCATCAGAAATTGCAAAATAAATATTACGTGCTCTGAGGTTCCCCAGATCATCATCAGGCTGAACAGACCCAGCAGATTCTCCATTACTTTCTTTAGTTGGAGAATCTTCATGGTTTCTTACCACATCATTTCCATCATTAATATGAGAAAAATTAGGAAGTGTAGCAGTAGCTGCTTCCTTCAATGACAAAACCACTTCAAGCCATTTGTCCTCAGAAAATAGAGAACCGGCACTGCTCATTAACCGAACAAAAGCAGCAACGCCAATTCCAGCCAGGCTTTGGTGGGGGCGCTTGATAAAATTCACCAGCAACATCAGCACTTTTCTTAATAGCGGATTGACAGTATTATAAAATTTTACAAAGAGATCTACAACCAATTCAAGGGCCAGAGTACATGTTTCATAAAGCCATGCATCTTGATCTAGCTCATTTAGATCACTTTCAGGTCCCTGGCCTTGTAAGCTTCCCCCAGATGGATCAATAGCATGACGAACATAATCAAATATAGGGAAAAGGACGGAATCGAACACGCGTTCCCACAAAGGCAATGAGAAAAGATGGCCATGGTGGCGTAAAGTCTCAAACAAGACTTGCAGGGAAATTTTTCTGATATCAGACCTTGGGTCAAAGCTAAGTTCTGATAACCCTGCACAAAGAGACAAAAAATGTCATACCATTTCTGTGCATTGATTGTTTATATTTCAAAAGAATAGTTCTATAAAATGTGTTTAGCACTGAAGGCTAAAACAAATAGAATATCAATAGTGTGATCTACCAATGTAAAACAATAACTATACCAGCCAACAATGGGAACCAGAAATAGAGATGGTCATCCTTATCGGCAAACTCTGCACTGTCCTGTTTTCCATCTTTGCCCGTTTGAGGTAATGACAGAGTACTCTTTCCAAATGCATCCTTGTCCTTATTCCTTGATGAAAAACCAAGATCACCTTCAGCAAGTTTTGCAGCACAGAACCGAAGGAAACCAATAGCATTGAGACTGATATCTTTGTTGAACTTGCTATTGGTAAATGCAATCAGACAGTTCACACAGTCTGTAAAGGTGGTAGTTTCAGTTTCAGTTATGTAAGGGAAGTAGTCCCGTACAATCTTCTCAATTAACTCAAAGGCCAAAAGTACAATATTCTTGTGGTCATCATAAGCTGCAGTTGTGAAAACCTGAAAATGTGAAATACACACACACACACACACACACACAACAATTAATCCTTGAGTAACATTACTAACAAAATTGACCATACATTTGAATGTACATAAGATCCACATAGGAATATCAAGTAGGAAAGAATACCATGAACATGCATTTCCATCCTGACTTGACATTATTGACACGGGACAAAACCATTTGTGAGACACATCTGATAATCAATTCTCTGATTTCTACAGCACTGCTTTTACGCATGACAACGACAAAAGGCTTCATAAACTCATTCTGGAAATTATAATTAGCCAACTCTTCTCGATCTAAGAATTTCATTGCCAACTGGCGTAAGGAATCCATTGCAAAAATTGCAATAGAGAGATTTTCAGAACAGCCAATGGTCACAAAGAATTCAGAGAGAACATTCCAGATTCTTGACCACACAAGCCTGATACGGTTCATATTGTAGTGCCTGTATGAAAAGATTTGCAAGAAATATTTAATATTCCACAATCATTTGATAGCAGCAACAGAGAAAAAAGTATTAAAAACTGAACTGAAGATGTTTATAAGGCATTATTAAGAATATTTACAGGGGAAAGGCTTTTAGGAATATGGAAGAGAAGGTACTTTTGACCTACTCAATCCTATAGGATCAGGTTACTCAAGTTTGTGCTGAGATAAAGGCTCCACTCCAAGTTCATAGAGTGATGGATTTGTTGGACGAGCACATCGGCAGGTTAAGGATGACTGACAGGCTGCCATTAGTTGATTCATAGATGGTAGTTGGGAGCATGGTCTGCAATTTCACCAAACACAGTGAAATTTTCCCAATATTTCCCCATTTACTAATGGATGGAATAAAAACATATTTTGGAATAAAAAAAATCCAAATATCACTTTTTTATAATTAAATATCACCTGATATTTCCCCTATAATTCAAAAAAAATTGATATATTAAGAAAATTTTCAATTTGTTATGTGCAAATATTCAAAGTTTCAATGGTAGTTTTGCCAAAATCAATTGCAAAAAGACAGTAAAATAGAAAACACCTTAATAGATTATTAGAGTTTCATTTTTTTTTATAGTAGAGTTTCAAATTTTCCTGGCTATTTTCATCTGAGCTGGGTGTTCCCCCTCTCTACTATGGAGTTCTTACAACGTTGGCACATCAAGGACATGCCCCACCCCAGGAAGACCATCTGGTAAATGACCTTGCTGCTGTTTTCTGGCCCCTATGGTCGGAGGGAAACAATAGAATTTCTGAAAACAAAACACTCCCAGATAGATAACGTCACCCACAATGCACATGCAAAAATCTTTTCCTGGGCCAATGCTTACAATTTAACAGCTGATTCTGTGAAAAACATCCATAACATATTTCCACATAAAATAAGTTACTTGGATTTATTGATTCCAAACCCTTCAATTAACAATTCTAACTTGTCTTTTCAGAACATAAAGCTCTTAAAAAATTTAGTTACATGATTTTTGATAAGCACATTTTAGTTATATAATTCATTTAAGAACAACTCTTTGTAATAACCATATAATAATCATAATAATAATTCATAAATTTAGGTAATATTATAGCTGCATAATTCAAGATATGAATGATTTTAAAGAACCTCAATGGAAAGGAATCAAGATATAAGAATTATATTTGGTTTTTAGGAATACTCCCCTTTCATGATAATAAGTCAGATGCACCCTTAGATACAATATAAGATCTTTAATCTTTTATAGTTTCTTGTATGTAGTTGGGTTGTAACTATACATCTTTCAATATTTCTTGAAATTTCATAAATAAATTCCATGTTTTCTATATTTTTTAATATTTTCGAATTCCCTTAGATTTTCCAGATTACTGAGAAAATTTTGTAAAATTTCCCCATTTGCACCTGAGAAAAATGCCTAACAAAACCAAAATTTTGAACCATGGTGGGGATCCATCTTTTTTCTTTTCCTTTATATTATCTAAGAGATGTAAAAGCTCTAGCTTTGAAGATAAACATCTCATTTAAATTGCTCTCTCCTTGGTGGATAATTTGGCTAGAGATGGGTATACAGGTTCTATTTGGTCTTTTATTTTTCTGAAATTGATTTTTTTTTTCTATTGCTAGGCAAATGGGCTAGAAAACAGAGGTAGCCCTCCTCAAAACCCTCCCAACCTTGGTTAAGGCAGGATTTGATCCCAGGTCTACACTAAAACCAGTGAGAGACTTCACTAACAAGCCAACCGGAACCTCTGTTGGCACTTGTCCCCATGTATTGAGTAGACTTGATTTATGTACCGCCTATTTTTCTTGGATAAATTAAGTTTTGTTTTTAGGGACCATTGCTTTGTACACCAGTAAAATATTCAGATGACAAGTGTGAGAATCTAGGTTTGAGACTCAGAACAGCTACTTGGTGCCAAAAAAAATGCCAAAGGTTAGGTCCATATCTAGTCCACCCCTCCCAAGACCCCAGATAGTTGGAACCAACATTGGGTAATGGCCTTTAAATAAGTTTTGTTTTCTTTCCAAAAAAGAGACAAGGTATTTCCAAGACAGGTAACAAGATGATATGTAAGTAATTCTTACGCAATCTCAACAATCTTTGTAAGACTGAAAACCCGTGGATCAGATGTAGATCGTAACTCTTCTATAGAAACCTTGCATAGGGCCTTAACAAAATCAACTATTGCTTCACTGTTCAATCTTTGACTTCTTGTGAATATGCGATTCATATCAGAGCTTCCAACTTGTTCCAACATGTTCAAGTTGGACACTAAATTATTCATCTGTTGAGGTGTAACCACCCCAGAAGCATGGCCACCAACACCTGCACTATCATAAGAACCCCTTCGTGCAGCTGCTTGAATACGGCCAAGTCCCTTCTTTTTTAGTACAGGAAGGATGGTTGACTTGGATTGCTTTGATTTTTCTAAATCGTTCTGAGATATTGAAAAGAAGGTTGCATCAGGAGGAGCTCCCTCTCCTAAGAGATGCAAATGTTCAAACCGTGAAACGCATGTTAAAATATGCTCCCAAGCTTCTTGTAAATAATTGCCATCTTCATCCGCTATGGTAACTATTGCCTGTGGAAAAAAAATGAATTGCAGCATTGCAAAATGATAAGATGGATATAGGTATATATGAGCAAATGACCATTTGTAAAACAGTCAAAGCATCTTAATACTGTCACTGCATCATATATTCATATTTGGGAAACAGATGAGATTGCCATCAAAAAGTTCCTCATATTCTGGATCATCTGGATTAAGTGCTTTAGTCTTACCATATAGCTAACAATATGTTGCATTAACAGATGAGTATAGTTTTTGTCATTTTATGATTTTATCCATGTTTCCTTTCCATAAGAACAAATCTTTTTTCTTGTTGATCGATAATGAATAGTTGTATTAATTCAGAAAATCAATGCACCCAGAAAGATACAAAGAAACTCTACAAACAGCATGAAGCTGATAAACCAAAAAATTTATGCACTAAAGTCAGATATGCATCAGTACCAGACCCCGGTATTACCCATAAAAAACTGTTTTCCATTCACTCCAGATTTAGCCAAAATATCAGCTATTGAGTTAGCTGATCAAGGAGTCTATCTTAATGAACAATTCAGATTCGATGCCAAAGGAATGGCTTCTCTGATCATCTGTCAAAACCTCCAAGGACCCTCGTCTTTGATTTTTCATTTATGATTAACCACTTCTCTTTATAATAATATAGGAAGAACAAAACTCTGCCCAACTAGTGTTTTGGTCTTTTGGATTGGCTGTCTTTCTTTGTTTTTCTCCCGCTTGTATGTCCTCTCATGTACACTTTTGGCTCTTCACTATTTTCAAAAATAATATAGGAAGTACAGGTATGTCATTTAATCACCTATTACAGTATTTGATGGTGAAGAACCAACCTCTGAACTCCGAAAATTTTGTTTTTCAGATGTTAGTGATCATTTAGTATAAAGTAAAGGAGACTGATCACATCCACTTGAAGGATTTAAGGCAACACCTAAAGAACAAAATTATTCACAAATACAAACATGACCCCAATTTTGCAACTAGCACCCAAAATCTCTCTCCAAACCCTAATCTAGCAATTTGTGTGAAATCTGGAAGCACTCAGTCAATAATCAACTTGCCAATATCCACCACTACTCTCTCCATCTTCCAAACCTTGCAACCTATTGTTCCTCTCCTTCCAAATACCCCAACATTACCACAAAAGGGATGCAGCTCCAAACAACTCTGGCTTTCTTACTACCACTAATCTTCAGCCAACAGAAGATTTCTGCTGGACAACTTGGCTGAAAGCATCTTACTTCAAAAAGAGAAGAGAAAAAAATGCCAAATAAAATCATAAATTTTGCAAGAGATAAACAGGTAGCAAACTGATCCCTCTTGCTCGAGACACATGTAGCACGCACTTGCCAAATTGCAACCAGCCATGCAGAGGCCTCCACCCTTGGGGGAACAGAGTTACCCTAAACACCTTTGATAGGAGATGACTCCATCTGATCTCTAATCAAGGCTGCATAAAAAGATTTACCATAAACCTTTGATTCTTGCATTGCTTCCACCACAACTCATCCCTTGAGGAGCTTGAAATCTTCATTTTCTCTTATCTAGTCAGCAACATAATACACTCTTGACTCTTCTACTTCCCAATCCAAAAAGGGCCTCCCAAACTTAGGACACTGAATCAACTGATCCCCCTCATCTCATAGCATTGGTTTATCTGTATATCATGTTCAGTAAGCCCATATAACCTCAGGCAGAGATCAGAAAGCCTCCCAACTTCACACCACTCACCCTCCCAAAACCTTATTCTAGCTCCATCCCCTACTACAAAACTTGTTAGGTTTTTGATTCTTGATTAAAAGTCATTATACCTTTCCAGTTTCCAAATACTCACCCCATAAGAAACCTCCTTTGATTCCCATCAAACCTATCAATCCCACATTTACCCACTTTCACTATTCTCTCCACAATGACTCCTCCCTCTAAACCAAACCTCCAAAACCATGTACCTGATAACACTGTTAAAAGTTCTTACCCTCCTAATCCCCAACCTTCCACTGCTCTTCAGTCCACAAACCTTGTCCCATCTAACAAGATGAAATTTTTCATCTTTACTCAAACCTTCCCGTTAAAAGTCTCTTTGAATCTTCTCCACACACACACACACACATATATGCATTACATAATATAATTTTTAATTCTACAATATTTTATATATGCAAAAAGATAACATATCATAAAACATGCTTATAATTGTATAAAAAATAATTATAATATAATTTATGTTATAAATTGAAGGGATAAAACTGTAAAATAGACATTTTTCAGAGATTCCAGCATTTAGAATATTAAACAACTTCACATTCAGAACTCAAAGAAAGCAGAGTTGTTTTTGACAGTTGAAGCCTTTAGAGTTGTTTTCAGAACTTTTTTTCCTTTAGATATCAGAATTACAAATTTACCAAACAGCACCTCAAGTCATATTGATGTTACCCATTGAGTACTAGGTTTTTTCCTCTTGATTGATAATGGAAAATTTATTACTTAAGGAGGAAAATATAAAGAACTGAAGTTTAAAAAGCAAACCAAAGGCCAAAAAGGACACTAAAGAAGCACCAGTGCAACTATACATGACAAACAAAACAAAACAAAACATTAAAAGAGAAAGCCATTATTCCAGTAAAGAGAAACTGAAAGGCAGAATACTTCATTTAACACCACTTGCAAGGCTGTTAGCATTTAAATTGGAAAATCTCAGAACCCAATGAAGCAAAGGGTCATACTTGAAAAATCATTGAATACTGTCTCAAGTCTTCATGTCTCCATAGAAAAAACTCCATTCAATTAAAGATGACCTCAGGATCTCTTGAGTAGTAAGACTTGAATAAAAACAAACAAACAAACAAACTCCAACCAGACAACTTAAGGAAAAAACAAAGCAACCAAGCAAACAAAGCGACAAACCCTTCTTTTGAACACCTAAGACCAACCCCCAGAAACTTCTCCTAGGGACCAAACACAGTCCTCCCCATCAAAGAATTCTTTCTACCCCCCTTCATCATTCCAAATTTCTCCCTATTCCCCTATTATGGATTTCTTACAAATCTCTTCCTTCTCTTCTCGTACTCCTCAAAAGCTCTTCTAGTGAAAGCCTCTCCTCAGAATAATAGACCCTAAGACTTGCCAAACTCTACCTCCCTATCAACAATCTTTGTTAAATCCACACTTCCTTGCTTCACCTCCTCCCCTTCTGGCACCAACTCAACATCAACCACCTAGGCTTTCCTCTCCTTTTCCTCTAAACCTCCAGTTTTATCTGACTCTCCCTGAGAAGAGACACCAAAAGGTTCTTAGTTGAAAATTACACCTACAGTAATTCAGATAATGCAAGAAAAGAAGAAAAGAGAGAAAGAGAAAGAAGAAAGAAGTTTCAGCAATTGGTTGTGGAAGAAGAAAAGAAGGGAAGAGAGAAAAGAAGAATTAGAACCGCTCTCTCTAGCCCCCTTTCATCACTTTTACTAATAATTCTAAGTCTGAGTACAATTACTTGGATGCCCTTAATGGGGCAGCCAGCACTAAAGAAATAATTAAAGAAAATAAAAGAAGGCACATAAGGTCGATAACTAAGAAACATAACTTTTAAATAAATAAAGAACACTAAGGCCTATTCGGCCCATTTTCACTACACTCCCCCTTAAGCTGAGCATGGATGTCAATCATGCCCAGCTTGCTTACATAATGTTGAAGTTTTGCCTTTGGAACTCCCTTAGTTAGAAAATCTGCTAGTTGCTCTTCTAATGCAATGAAAGGTAGGCACACCTCTCCTGAAGCCACTCTCTCCCATATAAAGTGTTTGTTTACCTCAATGTGCTTAGTTCTATCATGTTGAACTATGTTGTGAGCAATGTTAATAGCAACTTGGTTATCACAACACAATATCAATGGCTCGTCACATGAAACACCCATCTCATTAAAGCAACCACTGATTATTTTTTGCTTCTCCAAGAAACAATATTTCCAACTACCATAGCACAATATCTTTGTTTTTTTTTTTTTTTTGATAGATAGCTACCATAGCACAATATCCTGATGTGGATCTTCTGTCATCCACATTTCCTGCCCAATCAACATCTATATATACTTCTACCTTCATGTGTCCATGTTTAGCAAATAATATACCCTTATTGAGGGTTCCCTTGAGGTAGAATAATACCCTTTCTGTAGCAGCCATATGTGTGTCTCTGGGAGCATGCATGAACTAGCTGATGACACTCACAGCATATGAAATGTCTAGACGAGTCATACATAGATAAAGAAGTTTCCCCAGTAATCTCCGAAACACTCCCCTGCCAGCTAAAAGTTCATCATTAGTTGAGAGTTTATGATTCACATCAATAGGGGTAGAGGCAGGTTTAGCACCAAGTATTCCAATCTTAGTTAGAAGGTCTAGCACATACTTCCATTGAGAAATTAAGATACCTCCCTTGGACCTAGCAACCTTAATGCCCAAAAAATACCGCAATTCCCCTAAATCTTTAATTTCAAATTCAGAATTGATAAACTTCTTGAGAGTACTAACTTCTTTTGTATCACTGCTAGTAACCACAATATCATCTACATAAACTATAAGAAATGTCACCAGAGTGCCTTTTCTCTTAGTTGTCAGAAACCAAGAAGGTTCAGACCTGTCTAGTAAGGAGAAATAAACAAAAAACGAAGAAAAAAAAGGAGAGAAGAAAAGAGAAGAGAGAAGAGAAGAGGAAGAGAGAAAAAAAGAGAATGTGAAGGTTCGGCACTCTTGGTCTGCCGCCCCAAATGTCATTTAAATTGTCTTCAACGTTAAGTGGTACAATGACAGGAATGCCCCAATCACTAGAAACAACAGAAAAAAATCTAACAGTACTGTAGACAAGAAAGAATATATGAGCAGGTGGTGGGACCACAAGCTGGTCAACCATTTTCTCTACACTCCCCCTCAAATTGGGAAAATATATTGATCATTCCCAACTTGCTTAAATCTGCCTCAAGTTTGATTTTGTTGACTGCCTTGGTGAAGACAT